GGCTGCTGCGGCGTCCAGCGCACAGTTGGGTGAAACACGCCAGGCCGGCCGCAGGCAGCAGAGCCCCGGAGCTCAGGGCTGGGCTGTGTGACCAGCACCTCGCTTCCACCCACTGGCTCTCCCTGGAACTGAAGGGACAGGGACTGGAAACTGGGGTCGTTCAATAGGATCTTTCTTCCATCCAGCTGTTGATGACTGAAAACCATGAAGACACTTTCGGACCAACTCTCTTGTTTAAGCACTCCCCCAGGCTGTGCCACTGAGCAGAATGGAACACGAGCATGCCCTACCGTAAGGGTATTTGGTGTCCAGCTTATTGGCCGCTGTCCTCCTCCAAGGCAACAGGTCATCGCTGCACCCGTTGGGCATCCCATTGTACCCGATGCCGACAATCTTGTTTTCTGCGTTCACGATGCAGGCTCCAACCTGCAGGGAAACATGCCCAAAGGCTTGGTGACACCAAGGGGTTAGTCTGCCACTGGAGAGGCCAGTAGACACCAAAAGGCCTGCAGAGCCCCAAAGCACTGAGGTCTCCTGACTCATGTCTGTGGCAGATCCCACAAGCCAAAGAAAGTGAGCCTCCCAGTCCCAGGCGGATACAAGAGGCAGGGAACGATGGCATGTGACAGTTTACTCTCTCCCAGGAAAACATAAGTCCACAGGAATGTAGGAAAAAAGACAGACTTAACTCTTCTTTTCTAAGTTGGCAGGTGCCTACTGAGCCTCCTTTTCCAATTTGCTCATTTGTGTATATCTCTGTATCTATGAGGGTCCAAACATTCCCCTATAAAACTCACCTGGGAATTTGGATCTTTGCTTCTCTGTGCCGATAAGAAGGCCACCGCCATGAAATACTCGGGCCACTCCAAATAGTCATCACGTTTTCTGCAGGGGGCTTCACTCATGATGCCCTGGAAGGAAAACACAACAAATAGCAGTTGAGAAAATCATTCTCGTAAAGTTGCTTTCCGATTCAACCCAACCACATTTAAACTTTAGATTTCCAAACTCCGACAATTGCAGTTACATTTCTCAATAAAAAAATCACAGAACACACACCCCAGACATTCTTCGGTTTTAAGAAAAAAATTAAGAAGCTAAGTCACTATTTCATAAATTTGTATTTGGCACGGGTAGCTTCACATTCCCAAGTGTCACATTTATTCACTGCTTTCTCAAGGTACTTTGGGATCTTTTTCAAGTTACTACAAATGCCTACCCTATAAATTGTCCT